CTCAAGAGACTGGCCTTGTCGACGAAGGATGGCCTGCAAGGTGAGTAGTCATGCTACCTCAATATTAGGTCGTTGGTTCGGTAACAAGAAGCAGCGATACTAATAAGCATAGTAAATTTCCACATGTATTCCTCTGTAGCTGCAGAGACACTCCTCCATGACCTTGCTGCGGATAGAGATATCAATGAGTCAACAACACAGTATCTTTTCACTGCCACCTTGCCTTCACCTGCATCTCCATCACTGCTCGATCGTGCACAGAATAAGCCTGATGTGGAGAAGAGCATACGTTTACTCAAGCAACAGCGGATGGAGACAAGAGGCGACAGGTTCTTCTACGTTGACCAATATGCCAAAGCGAATCCTCAAGCTAGTGATGACGAACATTCCTATTGATGGACAAAGTGAACGAGTTCTTGAAGAGCAAGCAGAAAGTGCTGCTTTCCAAGGTGATTCAGGAGCAGGCAAGTCGACATTTAATGTAATCTAGAGTCCACTCTGTGGGAAGCGTATCAAAAAGAACCATGGCCGCATCCCACTGTTCATTAACCTGCCAGCCATCGATGACCCAACAAAGGATATGGTTGCAAAGCAACTGCGGATGTATGGCTTCACGAGTGAGCAGATCAAGGAACTGAAGAGGAGTCGGTCATTGATCTTGGTGTGTGATGGATATGATGAGACCATGCAGACCAAGAACCTGTATGTTACCAACAACCTCAACCATGCTGGTGAATGGATGTGTCAGATGGTGATCAGCTGTCGCAGTGAGATCTTGGAGTAGACTATCGAAGTCGCTTCCAGCCTATGGACCGCAACCATCAAGCAGATGCTGGATTGTTCCAAGAAGCTGCATTGTGCCATTCTCTGAGGATCAGATCGATGAGTACATCAAACAGTATGTCGCAAGCATAGACATATTGTGGAGTGTGGAGGACTATCAGTGTGCACTCAAGATGGTCCCAGTCTACAAGAGCTTGTAAAGAACCCATTCATACTATCGATGGCACTACAAGTGCTGCCACGAATGATAGACCCACATCAAGGCATCTCCACAACACAGGTCAAGCGCATCACACTGTATGATCAGTTCATTGAGTCGTGGATCGAACGAGGCAAGAAGCGACTAAGCGAGATATCGACAACAGATAGCACAGATAGAGAGATGCTCCAGATACTGTGTGAGGAAGGGTTCGCAAAGAATGGGATTAGGTACCTGACAGAACTGGCAGTAGCAATCTACGAGCATCAAGATGGCAACCCAGTGGTGGAGTATCCATGCAAGCGCAAAGAAGCATGGAAAAGAGATACTTTAGCCGAGGAAGCAAGAAGTACCTCCTTCGAGAAGCATCACCTCTGAGCCGTACAGGCGATCAGTATCGGTTTGTGCATCGGTCTATTCTGGAGTACTGTGTGGTACGAGCGATGTTCGAACCACGGAAAAGATGAATACGGCTGCAGGTGATACAGTAGCAGCAACAGCACTGAAATGTCGCCGACAGAGTGTCAGCTCTGTATTCAGCTTTGAAGTGGAAGGGAGTAAAGCGGATGGAGGTGAGCTAGATTCAGCCATAGCAGATGAGACATCGCCTTTGGTGTGGAGAAGCTTTGTGAATGAGCCATCGATCCTTGAGTTCCTGAAAGAGCGTGTTGAGATTGAACCAAAGTTCAAGCAGCAGTTGTATGAGTATGTTGAGCTATCGAAGAGCGCAAGAGATGGCGGATAGCAGCAGCAAATGCAATGACGATACTGGTCCGAGCAAGAGAGTCGTTCAGCGAAGCAGACTTACGAGGCATCCAGATCCCAGGAGCTGATCTTAGCCATGGTATATTTGATAGTGCTCAACTACAAGGAGCAGACTTGAGGAAAGTCAATCTTCGCGGCGTTGGCTTCAGAAGGCAGACCTGAGTGGAGCAGAGATGTCAGGTGTACAGTTTGGAGAGTGGGCATTCCTTCAAGAAGAGGGGATTGCAATGAAAGGATCATACTCGCCTGATGGCAAGACACTAGCTGCGGTTGTGTATAATCGTGACACAAGGAGAGCCATGTCAGCATATATGATAATCTGACATGGGAGAAGCGCAGACTTCAGAGATCATTATTGGCGGCTTCATTAATTTTACATACTCTCCAGACAGTGGACGCATTGCCATATGGTACAGAAGTGACAGTAGTGTGGTTTATGTGTTTGATACAGTATCAGGGGTAGAAGTCCATAAGTTGGAAGGCCATGCAGGCACCGTCGAATGTGTAGTATACTCACCTGATGGAAATCATCTCGTCTCAGGAAGCAAGATGGACCAGTATATGTGTGGGATACCAAGTCAGGCGTGATCCAATACACATTAGAGGGCCACACTGGTATGGTGGGGAATGTGGTGTATTCACCGGATGGGAAGCAGATTGCAACTGGAGGCGAAGACAAGATAGTGCGGCTATGGGATGCGGTGTCAGGAGAGCTCATTCTGATACTCCAAGGGTGGGAATATCAACTCTTGCAAATTGTATATTCACCTAACAGTCAGGAAATCATCACTTGCTGTGGTGGCAGTAGGTTACTAGATGTATGGGATGCTAGGTCTGGTCAGAAGAAGTGGACTTGGGAGCATAAAGAAGGTTCCGTTGAGGGTATTCAGTATTCACCTGATGGGAAATATGCCGCTACGTTTTCCCAGTACGCAGTATATCAGTGGAATATGCAAACAAGAGAAGTCATCCATACTTTTGAAGACCATGACGGTCAGATCAAATGCTTGAAATATTCACCAAATGGAGAACAGATAGCTATTGGTTATTGGGACTGTATAGTACGGATTTGGGATACTCGATCAGGACAACTAAACGCAGTTTATTATCACCCTGACATGATATATGATGTGGCATATTCACCAAACAGCCATCAGCTTGCATCATTCAGCGAAGATGGAACGATACGACTGTGGGACACACAATCAGGCCAATCTAGGCATGTGTCCTATGGTCATACATCTGATATCGGCACACCAAGGCTTTCACCGGATGGGAAGTACATGGCCGCATTCAGTCGCACTGACGATATAGTGCGTGTATGGGACAGTCGAACAGGACAATGTGTTTACGTCTTACAATACAAGCCAACTGACGTCAAGTATTCATCTGATGGTCAGCTGCTTGCATTTTATGACTACAGTGATCATCGTGTTCACCTTCTGGATACTGGAACAGGCCAGCCTGCCCTTATCTTGGAATCACAAACCAAAAGCGATGAGATCAAAACCTTTGATATTTCACCTGTTGGCCACCAAATTGCTTTTGGCTATAAAAGTGGACAAGTAGATGTATGGGACACACAAGCTGAAAAGCTCGTGTGTACTTTGCAGTATGGGGGCGATTTGTGGGATATATTATTCTCACCTTGTGGTCGCCAGATTACTTGTCGCGGTCAAGGTGATATAGTCAAAGTCTGGGTAGCGCATTCAGGGGACTATCTTTATGAGTTTAGCGGCAGTGATTCAATGGTTTACTCGCCTGACGGCCAGAAGATAGCACTGATTCAGAACGACAATATCCTCCAGCTACTGAATGCAGAAACAGGCGAGCTCTGTTCCGAAACGAATTTCGATTGTAGACCACTACCCATTGCATTTTCACCATCTAGTCAGCTGGTGGCTGTTGGGGCTTATAGGGGATCAATTAGCGTGGTGGATACAGAATCAGGGACGGTGTTACATATACTTGAAGGACATACCGAGTATATAATGGACCTTTCTTATTCTAGCGATGGCCAGTACCTCGCCTCACATGACATAAACGATGTAAAGCTATGGGATGCAGAGTCAGGCCAGTGCTTGGCTGTCCCGAATATATACAAATGTATTACAAATCTTGCATGGAATGTTACTGGAGAAGGTCACTTTCTAGTAACAGCATATAGTAATGGCTCTACCCGGATGTGGCAGATTGTTAAGGATGAGTATGGCCAATGCCATGTCCGACTGAAGTGGAGCTCGGAGCAACAGCCTTTTAACGCCCATAAAGTAAACATTCAAGATGTATCTGGCTTGAGTGAAGCAAACAGAAAGCTTTTGGAACAACATGACGCTGTTGGCGACCCAGTGCAGCGCCCGACTTCCAGCGAAGCAAGCTATGAGGCCAATACAGCGATATCTACGCTACCTAGGATCAGTGAAGTGGAAAGTAATGTGTTGGATACGTCATCAAAGAGAGACATGACCAGAGCAAGGCCATTGCTCGCTAAAAGTGAAGGAAGCAAGGGATATCAATTCATTTGTAGCAAATGTAGTGAATGCGACGAGTGTGGAGATGCACATTTCATTCTAAGTGGTTCATACGACAAATCTGATAGTAACTGATCAGTATTGTGAGGAAGGGAGCATGCATGCCAACCTAATAAAGTAAAGGCACTCTGTGCTCCCACACCTCCTTAGCTAGTTAGTTATATATTTCATTTCTACAATAAGGTGGTCAAATGGCCTGCTTGCCAAGTTACTATCTCCTCAATATCAAGCCTTCAATGACACAGACATTTTGTAAGCTTCTCTGAACTCCAGCATGGACTCTGCAAATAAAAGGTGTTTTAAAGTGAGAGGAACGACGCTTTTACATAGCTCGACCTACGTTCATGTACAACTGGTTATTATTCACAGTTATGGAAGGATACATGTGTCATACAGGTTCTAAGCAAAGGCATGGCCGAAAGGGCAAATGTCCTCGTCACTCCTGATACCCAAAAAAAAAGGAAAGACTTGGAAGGAAGCTGCAGTGAATGAATCCAGAACATGCCATTTCTTTCGCTTCTACACCATTTAGGATCGAAGATGCCGAGAGAAATAAATATAACAAATAAAATAGAGATATAACACCATCAGTGCAGCTAGTCAAAAGACTTGCTTTCTGGCTTTTATCATCTTTATATTTCTCCTATAAAATAAAAACATATTTGCTTTCTTTTAAAGCAGAGTTGCTTTATTCTATTGACCAAATCTTTTGAAAAAAAAAAGCCATTAGGAAACAAAGCAAAGGGTAAACTAACCGAAATGATTAGATCAATAAAGAGTATTTACAAATGCCCAAAGCGTGGTCCTTGAGGAAGATTTTTTTTTCAATGAGATTCTCCTCCTGCGAGATGGACACTCGCAATAGCTGCTTCGTCCAGATCATCCTTCAATGTGATATTCAAGCCAGATCGGCGCAAGCACTCTTTGCCTTCTTCCACTTGGTTGCCCTGTAGCCTGACCACGATAGGGATATTGATCTTTGGACTGGCCTCTTTCAGAGCGGTGACCATGCCTTCTGCAATGGTCAGACAACTAGCAATGCCTCCAAAGATATTGACCAAGATGGTCTTGACATTCTGATCCTCTGTCAGGATCTTGAATGCTTGACTGACCTGTTTTGTTGTCACACCCCCTCCAACATCCAAGAAATTGGCTGGCTTGGCTCCATGTAGTTTTATAATATCCATTGTTGCTAATGCCAGTCCAGCGCCGTTTACTTTTTTTTTTTTTTTTTTTTTTTTTTTAAAAAAAATAATAATAATAATAATAATAATAATAAATAAATAAATAAATAAATAATGTCTATAAACATACAAGCAAAAAAAAATATCAAGAGCAATGAATATAGTTGTAAAGGAAACTAAAAAAGAGGCAGACACTTACCCAGACAGCCAATGTTGCCATCCATACCCACGTAATTGAGTCCACAGTCTTGTGCCTCTACCTCTCGTGGGTTTTCTTCTGTCGTATCACGCATCATCTGAAGTTCTGGATGCTTGAACGCTGCATTGTCATCAAATGCAATCTTGGCATCGAAGCATACCACTTTGGGAAAGGAATGTTATAAAGTGAAAGAGAGAGAGAAAGAAGTCTGGTTAGTTCCCAAAAGAATGCTGTAACTTAATCTTGTCATACTATTTTGTATAGTGATATCAATGGATATAATATAATACCTCGATTATCAGGAGTTAAACCAAAGGGATTGATCTCGATCTGGGTGGCGTCTACCTCCAAGAAGAGCTCATATAGTCTCTGCATTTGATCAGAAGCCTCTGCCACGGTCTTTCCTTTAAATCCGAGTTTCATTGCCATATCGAGCGTCTGCTGTTCTGTGGGACCTGTCTCGATATCAACCGGAGTCTAGATGAATATGAAGAAAGAAAAAAAAATAAAATAAAAACTTGTTGAGCGACAGTCTTTATGATTGAATAAGAGGTGGAACAAAAAAAAAAATAATAATATAATAATAATTTGCTCAAGCCCTTGCCTTAAAGATGCGATCAGGATGAGTTTCAGCAACTTGTTCAATCTCTACGCCTCCATCAGGGCTTCCGACCAAGACAGGACCACCACTCTCACGGTCCATCAAGATTGCAAAATAGGTTTCTTTATCAATGTCCAATGCTTCTGCGACCATGACCTAGACATGTATGCATAAAATCAAGAAACAGAAAAGAAAACGTAGTTGGTGATAAGCAATTTTTATTTTTATTTTTATTTTTTATAACACATTAAAAACAGATTAACATTATTATCTTTTTTATTTATCTATTTTTTGTTCTTACCTTGCTGACAAGAACACCGTCCTCGCCTGTTTGCTTTGTCTTGAGCTTGTAGCCCAACATTTCCGTGACCAAGTCTGGGACTTTTGCAGGGCTTTTTTTTTTATTTTTTTTATTTATTTATTTATTTAAAGAAGAAATAAAAACCATTGAATAAGTGTGGGCATAGATATAGATATTGGATATTGGATATTGGATATTGGATATAACGATACAGATGCAATAGGTCTTTGGATATACACACTTGATATATATATTTTTCAACTTACTCTTTTGTCAGATGTACACCACCTTTGAGTCCACTAGAAAACTCACCCTTGCCTCGTCCACCTGCATGGATCTGAGCCTTGATCACCAGTTCATTTGCCTCTGTGTGGTGTGGGTATACGAGGGATAGAGAAGAGAGAAAGAAAGAAAGAAATATTTAGTTAATAAAAAATGCTTGTGTCCGGAAAAAATTAGTTTTTAGTTTGCTTCCCCACACACATTTTGAAATAATGACATCTCTCTCTCTTCTTTTTTTTTTTTTATTTTTTTCCCCTTTGCTTACTAAGACTTAGTGCTGCATTATGTGCTTGTTCAGGTGTTTCGACGACTGCAAACCGTTGGACGTTCACATTATGTTTAGCCATCAACTGTTTCGATTGATACTCGTGCAAGTTTAGGAACCGGACTTGACTGGCTACAAATGCCTTGGCTGCTAGGGTCGGTAGCTGTTGGAGCAAAGGAGTGTTTAGTAAAAGGGAAATAGCAATAACAATAACAACAACAGCAAAATAAAATAATCAAGTTGAGGAGATATATACCTGGCGCTGGACCAGAAGAGGTCGTGCCATTCCAATGGTTGGAACGCGTTGTTTGAATGCATGTCGGAGCATAGTGAATAGGAATAGCAAGAAGAAAAGAAAAAAGAAAAAGAAAAAACCTAGGATAAAAAGAACGTAGTGTATGTGTGGTATAGGAAGGAAAGGAAAGGAAAGGAAAGGAAAGGAAAGGAAGAGGTGAAGAGTAGCAAAAGAAATGAAGAAAAGAAGAAAAAAGAGATACTTTGTTATGATAGGCGTGTGAAAAGTAAATGAGAGAAATAATAATAATAATAATAATAATAATAATAATAATAATAATAATAATAATAATAATAATAATAATAATAATAATAATAATAATAATAATAATAATAATTAAACCCGAGTCTCACTTGCTCATGCGATGGGAAAAAAAAAAAAAGAGAGAAAGAGAAAGAGAAGGCACAATCCCTTTCCTTTTCCCTTTGACCCTTTGACCCCCCTCCTTTTTTTATTCCCAATTGAACAATGGCTGATGTGTCTTGATATTTTATATGTATATCCCCACATGTCCCATTGAAAATGTCACAAGAGCACTTTTATAATTCATGCAAGTCTGTCTTTTCAAGTGGTCCGTTCGCATTTATTTTGGTTTGCTCCTTTTCTTGTGCACTTGTCTGTCTATCTCCATGAATTATCTTTAACAAATGTCCATGTCTCATGTCCTGTGAGAAACTACAAACGAATCAGGGACCATGCCATCCGTGCTGTTCTGAGCATTCGAGTGGTTCACATACGGATCAATATAATCATCCGGCACCTTTTCATCCTTCATAAACATCCTGCTCATCAACAGCACAAACGAAGCTGATATGAAAATAGTCACTATTCATATATATACACATAAAAGATATCATTAGTGTCTCTCTTTCTTTCTTTTTTTCTTTCATTTTCTTTGCCACAAAACTGTCCTCTTTTATCAACAATTTTTTTTTTTTTTTTTTTTTTTTTTTTTTTCCCCACTTGTTGTACTTACCCATGCCTTTACGGGTCGCTTCCCATTTGGCTGCCTCCATTCGAGTCCTCATATCCCCCAATTGGGCCATATAATGATTACTCATTGACTGGATCCGAATCTCGAGTTGCTTCTGTTCTTCACGCACATCACTCTTCCGAGAGTTCATATCGATCGCAATATCGTTCTTCACATTCGCAATGTCCTCCCTCAACTTTTGATTCAAGGAATCGATCTCTCGAGAAATGATTTCACTCCGGATTGCCAAGGCCGCTGCATCGTTCTTTCGCAAAATCTGGAGCTCTGTCCGGAGTTCTGTCAACGCTGCCTTGAACAAGTACGTCTCATTCTCCAGATCACTCCTCGTCAACATGTTTTTCCTGACCTTGTTTGTACTGCATAGTCAATCAACAAGTATTAATATTACGCAGATAATAATTACAATATTTCGATTTTTTTTTTTTTTTTTTTTTTTTTTTATAGAAAATAATAATATTTAGACATACTGTTGTCCAATGAATGCTTTGATGACCCGCATGATACCCTCAGCTTGTCCACGTTGGAATCCATTTGATTCAAGTTTGGAAACAATCTTGTTCGTATTAAAGTGATGGTTCGTAATGATTGAGCGACGAAAGATTAATGATGATGATAACTGCGGTGGCGATAACAGACCATTGGGCTTCCTGAACAGCTGGGTATACTGATGTTTTTGAGTAGAGAGAAATGGACTGTTTCCCATAGAGGACAAGGACGCGGATGAGGACGAGGATAAGGATAAGCAGGAGAAGAGGGATGAATTTTGACGCTGTGAATGAGATTGGTTCCTGAGATGGATCATGGTTGAATCTTCCTGTCCTGTGCATCCTAAAGAAGGATGAACGCTGCTGTCACTCCTACTTTTGTAACTATTTGTAGTAGCAGTCGTGTATTTTGAACGAGCAAGGACAGCATTTGAAATGGACAGGCACTTTTGGCCATGCAATGACTTTGTGACAAGACCTGTTGACCCTAAAAAGAGAAGAAGAAGAAAAAGACATTAGCATTGCTAAACATGATGTGATATGAATGTGATATGAATGTGATATGAATGTGATATGAATGTGATGAATGTGATGAATGTGATGAATGTGATGAATGTGATGAATGTGATGAATGTGATGAATGTGATGAATGTGCTCCCAGGTTGTTCATATACCAACCTCGAGAGATCAGCTGTGGAGATGCGTTCATTGAGACAGATATTATAAAAACAAAATAACAAAATAACAAAATAACAAGAATAAAAAAAGAGAGGGCAAAGTGAGGGAGTGTGGGAAAGTAAAGAGGAAAAGTAAAAGAAAGAAAGAGTATGCGTTGGAGAGAGTGGAGAGAAAGTGTTGTGGAATTTCAGGAACGGACAAGATTTAAAGTGGAATGAACAAAAAAAGAAACTCAACGACTCAGTTACTACGCGTTTACATCCTGTTCCAGGTCACAGGTTCACAAGCCACATTGTTGCTTTTTCTTTAATAAAGTCAAAGTAAAATATCCAGTTGACAAAGCAAAGGCAGCCTTTCCGTAACTCTTAATTAATTCATTAATCTCTTTTTCAACCAGCATGTTCTCATTCACAAGGTCACTTGGTACTCGTCTATCCGGTATCACTGCCAGATATGCATCCACAGCCGCCAATGGTAATCCCTTCTTTGACACATTGCCACATTGCTTCACTTATAGATCTTGATCAGCATTTACTTTTTTTTTTTTTTTTTAAACTTCTTCCGAAGCAATATTAGTAAAAAAAAAAAAAAAAAAAAAACATGATTGATCAGGAACAATGATTAACTATTAACAACCCTTCTTCCCTTCTTGTCCTGCCTATATATACACATACATTTTATATACTTCATATATCTATATAAAATAGCTGCTATCAAGCCCGTATACACTGCTCCAGCTTCTGTATCAATACCAAAGCAATTCAAACCCAACACTCGTGGACAGGGATTAATGGAATTGATTTCAAAGGAAGAGATCAAACGGATGGGAGCAGACGGTCGTTCTAATCTCTTCAACAAATCCCATCCGGATTGTCTCCGTCCTGGAGATGTGGTTCTTGTAGAGACACTCAACTCAATGTCCTCTGACAAGACCAGCACCTTCATCGGAGTCTTGATCGCAATGGACCGCCGTGGTCTCCACAGTAATTTCACAGTCAGGAACGTGGTCCTCAAAGTTGGCGTCGAGATGAAATACATGCTATATTCACCCCTGATCAAATCTGTCCGCATCATGAAGCGAGGAGAAGGTTTCAGGAGAGCAAAACTTTTCTACTTGAGAGACAATCCAGGACGTGCTTTCCGTTTGGAGGGCTTGGCTAAGCAGGATAAGATCACTCAGGCTCAAGCTCAGGCCAAGAAGGCAGCAACAGACAAGGCATAGCTCCATCAATGAGCAGGAGGAGGATTATAGGAAGAAGAGAGAGAGGAGGAGAGGGGAGGAGGGGCATTTGGCAACCATTAGAACAATTTACGGAATAGCTTTGGCAACTTTTTGAAATATTTACAATACATCAATACATGTTAGTACCATACTATACATACTATACGATTTGGTGAAGATGTGAAAGGTCTTTTCGATAGGAGGGCTCTGTCCATAAGGTGGTTGTGACGTTCTTTTGGAAGCAATTTATCCATTTATTCGTAGTAGGCGCGACAGAATTGTTCACGCGCACCTGCTGCTTTCCCCCCTCTTTCCACTTTATCTGCATTTTTACTTTTTTTTTTTTTTGCTGTTCTCGTCATTTTACTTTCCATATAACCTCATACTCATTCACTTGCCATAAAACTAAACCTTACAAACCTACAAAAGTATGGTCATTCACAACAATAACAACGGCAACAGTAACGTACCAGAAGTGCCACTCGCACTCGTCTCAAACGCGTACCTGGACGAGTTGACCGCTGGTTTGAGAGCACGTCCTATCCCGTGGGAGGTACATTACTCTTACATGCAAAGCAAAAAAAAAAAAAAAAAAACTATTCACTTCATTCACTTCGACTTTAGTCTTACTGCTCCAGAGCAGACTGCACCATGTAGAACCTCAATAACCAAAGCAACAACAACAGCACCAGTAGAGGCATTTGCCCAATCACTAATTTATTCCTTATCTTCTTAGGGTTACCAAAGAGCTACACTTATTACACAAAAGGAATTGGAATACATTAAAGCTGTAGACAAGAAGACAGGCGAGGACCTGTCTCGGGTGGTTGACCAGGTACGCCTTTGAGAATAGCAGTTAGCAGAGTCAAATCCATTTGAAGCAAAACCGACAATTTCTTTTGACTGGGGTTTTTTCTTTTCTTTTCTTTTATTTATTAAAGGAGGGAAAAGTATATGCTGAGTTGTTCATCAGTCTCTTACAAAAACTTGTCCGTGTCGATACGATTCAATCGATTCTCATATTGGTTGATGATCTACTTATGGGTAAAAAATAAGATTTTTTCTTTCTACTTGCCTACTTGCAATTGAGATATTAAAAAATCTCAATATTCTCATGTTGATTTCCTTCTTTCTTCTTTATTTTTAAAAATAAATAGATCATGAAGAACGAGCATCTTATTTCCTAGGACTTGCAAAGGGTGACCCCACTCTTCCTTATGCCCCTCTCTTAAAGTAAGGTTAATATGTTATGTATATATGTATGTAAAAGAGTGCAGAACCTGTGATAACATCTGACCCTTCTTTTTTTTTTTTTTTTTTTTTTCATTGCGTGATCATATCAATACCCTTACCTGTATATTCATACACACATATATAAAAGATGCCTACGAAGTGATGATGAATTTGTACCTTTAAAGGCCAGCAAGATCTTGACGATGCTTCTGTGTGCGAGTCCTAAACCGAACGAAGATGCTGCACAGGAATTGTTCCGATGGACAACAGCTCAGCTACAGAGTAACAATCATTCAGTAGTCGATCTGGCTGTCCAGGTATTGGAGTCTGCCCTTCGCCAGAGAAGTTTGAGACTCATTTATTGGAACACACCTCAGGCCATGGATGCATTGGTCCGGATCATAAAGAGGGACTCTCCAACGCCTCAAATGCAATACCAAGTCATTTATTGCTTCTGGATCTTATCCTTTGATACCCAAATCGCAGAGGAGCTCAATCAGTAATGATTCACAAAATGAAAAGAAAAAGCCCGAGTCAACTAATATATATACATGTATATATGAATATTGCGTTGACTGATATGAAAACCTTTTTTTTTTTTTTTTTTTTTTTTTTTTTTTTTTCTCTTTATTTATTTACCTATAGGAAATACGATATTATCCCAACACTTGTAGAGATTGCAAAATCAGCCATCAAGGAGAAAGTAATTCGTGTTATCATCTCCACCTTGCGTGTAAGTCCATACTTTTTCTAGAGAACACTTTATTAAGGAGAAGTATGAATAACGACTTTGCAATTACAGGTATTAATTCTTGTCCAATCTATATTTGTATTTGTACACAAACATAGAACTTGGTTGAAAAAGCACCAGAGGCAAATTTGGCTGCCATGGCTGCTGTCAAGTTGCTGACTTTTACAGAGAATCTATCGACTCGAAAGTGGACCGATGGTGAAATCCTAGAGGATGTCAACTATCTCAAGGCGGAATTGGAAGAGAATTTCCAGACATTGACGTAAGTAGCAAAAAAAAAAAAAAAAAAAAAAAAAAAGGATCTTGTTAACTGTTAATTGTAGTTTGGGTTCATTTCTATACATAATTAACAAACTGAATATTCTTTTTTTTTTTTTCCGGGACATGCTCAAAAGTACATTTGAGGTTTATCAAGCAGAGTTGTTGTCGGGAAGATTGACTTGGTCACCACCACATCAATCAGATCTTTTCTGGACAAAGAACTGGCGTGAACTAAAGAACGATAACTATGCCCTCTTGAGGTTAGCCTTTTACTACGTTTCTTTTATTCAGCAGGCAGCTTTTTAATGTTGTTTATTTATATACTTATTTATTCTTTCTTTAATCCTTAAAATGTATCATGCTAATGAAACGGATTTTTTTTCCTTTTTTTTTTTTTTTTTTTTTTTTTTTCTTCCTTTTAACTCCCTTGCAGGGTGCTTGCGCGATTGCTCAGTACAGCAACGGATACAGTCGTACTTGCTGTTGCTGCCAATGACATTGGACAATACGTTAAACGGGATCCTGCTAGTAAAAAGTAACTTATAAACAAATGCACAACTTGAATTTTTTTTTTTTTTTTTTTTTTGGCTATTAGAGGTGCAACTAACCAAGGGATTTTATGATTGTTTGTGTGGCGATTATTCAGGTTTTTACAAGAGATTGGAGTCAAGCAAAAGATTATGGAGCTGATGTCGCACCCTGATCAGGAGGTTCGTTATAACAGTGTGAACGCCAGTTGGTCCCTGATTGGAGGCAGTGGGCATGTTTAAAGACAAGGAAGATGGGGATCTACAAAAAAAATAAAAAAAAAAAAAAATCAATGTTCCTCTCATGTTTTATATTAGAATTTAAAAAAAATAAAAATAAAAAAAAAAGTTTTCTCCATTTAATAGCTTGTTAATTGACATTAGTTGTTCCTTTTGGTTTAAAAAAACACACACAAACACATTACAGAATAATAATAATAATAATAATAAGTTAAAAGAAGACCAAACTCTTTCGCTTTTGTTCAGAAGATGGGACCAGATCTTGCTTTGGCCTTATTGCGCAAGGAACTTTTATCTCTTTTTTTTTTTTTTTCTTTTTTTTTTTTCAGCATCATGGTGATAGCCATCCATTATAGAAGAAAAGATAGCCTTCGTTATCCTTCTTCGGAAGTGTATTCAAGGCCTTGGAGCGAATCTGAATCAATGTTAGGACAGGGAGTGCTCTGTGTCTTTGGCAGTGGCTGTCATTTCTCTGTGTCTTGTTGGTGTAACCATTTTGGGGTATATTTATCAAAGTGGCCAAATATCTTTGGCTCGTCACCAGCCTGAGGACGAAGTTCATGTGCACATGCACGTACCGAAAGGCAAATCTGGCTTGCTCTTGCAGACACTTCTCTCTCAGGCTGGGACCCAAACTTGACATTTTGGCTGGAGGTCTCTTTTTTAAATTTGAAAAAGTTTCAAAGTCGAAAACACGCCGCAGGAAAGGCTCTTTTTTTTCTGCCATTCTCGCCGCAGAAAATGGCTCTTTTTTTTTTTTTTTTTTTTTTTTTCAAAGTCCAGACTAGGATATTGATTTGATTGAGAACGAACGAGGAATGAGAAAAAAGAATGGTATATTTCGCGTAAAAAGAGTCATCATGCTCTAATTAATCAACTAATTACCTTTAATTAAGATAGTGTGCTTAATAAGGTCAGAGAGATGGAAACGAGAACTGTGGAGTAGATTCAAATGTTAGAGTAATAAAATGTTAGAATAATAGATGGCAACGCAGATGATGGAAACAAGAGATGATTGGTAAAAAATGAGGCTAGTGATTTGGGTGTGTGTGTAGGACCGATTAAAAAGTGCCATCCCGTTTGTCAAAAGGGCAAGTGGATAGTGATGGCTCCGTTCATAAAGGATGAACGATTGTAAAAGGATACTCAATAGATATGGTATTTTCATTACAAGACAAAATTCCTTTCACTTGATTGACATTCGACTCTTTTCTTCATGCTTGAGCCTCGGCGGTCCTCCTGCATATGCGATATTGATATGAGTTTTTATGACACACTGTCCCGCATGTTTTAAATATTAGGTGTTGCCTTAACACTCTGATCGTTGTTGATAACGAGCTCCTAAGCTTTAAGCTTGACGTGTATGTCGCCTGGGACCATGGAACGGAGGAATGTGACATTGTCACTTTTCTCCGAGGTTTGATCGGTTTCTCTTCAAGCATGATCCAGTAAATATTATCAATCATCTCCTTGGATGATGCTTGCTTGATCGGATACTCCTCTGATGTGACCTGGAATGGCTTGTCGGGTCCCAACACAAAACTTATGGGTGGAAAGATAGGAATAGACAATAGAAACAACTTGCCACTTGCTTGAGAAAATTCCGATGACGCAGCTGCGACAATCCGCTTGGCGTGCTCACTTCTCCTTGCTCAGGTTCTCTGAATAGTGATATTTTAGTTTATCTATTAGTGCCACATTATAAAATTGTGTCTGTGCCATTGTCATAAACAATGGCGAGTAAAAAGAAGTAAAAGAAACGATCGCTACTTTTTCCTTGGTCCCTTATCCCTGCTTGGCCTATTGGGCTTGTCGTCCTCCGCTTGAGTCGACTCACTTTTCCCTTTATTTGATCCGCTGTTCAACAAGCTAATATTGAATACGTCGTTTCTATTCGTTTGTCTTTGATGACAGGGGCTTCTTTGACTTTAGCTACTGAATAACCACCCTGTTCGTGATAAGGCAATATGATAAGCCAACGTGATAAGTAAGGCCTAAACAACAGCAACAAGGATATGTCATTCGAGCAAAAGCCGAGAGAAGACGGTGATGAGAGGTGTTCTTTGATGCAATTATGGCAAGTTGTATTATGGGCATCCTTAATTCTTGACCTTATCGCCGATTTTTGACTGTACGGAAACAGGATAATATTTACCCTCCGATTCTAATACAAAGACGATATCTGGTCCAGATGGGTTCTCTTTTGGAAACAAAAAAAAAAAAAAGCGAGATTAACTTGGATTCATGTATTGAGTCTTTGTTACAGTGAGTATCCAAGAATTCGTTCATTGTTATAATTCTGGAAGATTGAAATTAAACAAAGCGGGACTGAAATACTCAAAATGTGTGCCCTTTGTGCCAGACGTAGTGGGCATCTAGTAACACACTGTTAACCAATTTAACCAATCCAGGGTCATCCACTTCAAATATGTTAAATGCCATTGGCTCAACGACAATCGTAAATTCCTTCTTCCTTTGATTAACGACAGTTCGAGCAAACGAAGCCTCGACCGGAACAGGCTCATTGTACTCCAATATCAAGTCTTTACTATATAGTAATCTATTCTTTACAGCTCGACCGAAGGTTTCCCTGATGTCGACACTGGTTTTAATTCCTGCATCCCCTTTGTTAATACGCTTCAGAATCCTAGATTACTCATGGCATAGGTTACCAGATTCTTTATATCCTGGATCAGTGAGCGACCACACCAGGCCCTTGATTTCTTGCTTCCAAAGGCCTGCGTCGGCACGTCCAATGAGGTTTTCTATTATAGTGATCATTGGACGGAGACGACCACAGGACCAAGTATATAGCATCTCGATTGCTTGATCATTAAAATGGCCTCTCAGCTTTGATGCAGAGCTTGAGGAACCTTGTTTCTCCAAATATCGTACAAGTGTTTGAAGTATGTCCGGACTTTTGCTTGATTATCCCATCTAGGAAACGATACTGCACTCTTGAACCTCGAGTCATCGAGAACTTCTCGATATTCCTTGAAGCTTTGCCAGTTCTCTTAATCCAAGCAGGATCATAAATACAAAAGCCTATCCCGCAAGGAACTATGCAGATTTGTAGTAAATTCTCTGATAAACCCTCCAATCCATGAAAGAATGCTGATAATATTGGTCGCTTAGTGTTGTCGTTATTAATAAACTGGTATTTAGCCTCCCCTCCCCATATCCTGCGTCTCGTTCAAAATAACCAAAAACATAGAGTTGCCTTGATGCCGCTCCGAAAGGACCCTGATTAGATTGTCGAACCAATCTTGCAGAAGCTTGTCAAGGCAATTAAAGCCAACTCCACCAAGTAATTCTGCTACTTTTGTGAAGAGCGCTAGGAATAAATCTGTCCTGGATGGAACCGAGTTTCCTCAATGAACTTCTCCAAGGACCTGTGGACACACTTGCAATAGCATCCATTGGCTAGGCGTCATTCTACCTTCGGACAAGTAAAAAGGGTAAATTGATGAGCATCAAATATAAAACATAAAGGCACTTTTGCTTACGTTCTTCAAGGGGTATACGAAAACCAAACTGCGATTAACCGCCTATGAACGCAAGACACAGAACATTTGGTGAGATTATAAACAAGCGTGGATATCCCAGACATCAAGGACCTTTTCCTCCTAATCTCCCATCCGTCTAGCATGGCTCCCAAGGTAATTGATGTGAGAGGGGATGATTCTGGCGAGATTGATGCCCTCAACAGCATGTAGCATTAATATACCGAGAACTATGAATATATTGACGACACAATCTAATATTGTATCACATTTTACCGGTCAAGCGCGTGGCAGCCTTGGCCACATTCTTGATGTTTTTTTATTCCATGTCCCTGGACGCCTAGAGATTCAGACGCACCGTCTTCACATACTGACACTGAATTGGCCGAACATACAACAAATATGATCTCATTGATCACAGGTTGCCATCCCGTGCACGCACCATGGGGCTAAAACGACATTTATGTCTTTAGAGCGGAGCTGTCATCCTAGCTCCTGGTTAAACGTTCTGGCGCCCTGGATGATGATAATTGATAGGCCTTCCGCAAGTGGCAAGCATCCAGATGACAAAGCATATGAGAAAGGATAATTTCCTATGCCAGCTGTCCTGGTGATAATAATATGGTTTTGGGTCTCATCATCAGACTCTCACTGGGTTCTCCACAGGATTCTTCATCTCTATCCGTTTTTACAAAACTCTTTGATAATAGTATCACAAAATCCTGCACACAAGATCGCATAATGATCACAGCTTTATAAAGTTCTAAATGCCCCAGTAGAAGGCAGGACGGATTAAACCGCTCTATCTATTCGTCTAAAAGGTAAGTGGATGATGATGGCTTCATTCATAAAGAATGAGCCATTGTAAAAAAATTCTCAAGGAACGGGTATAATGCTTTTTTTAAAAAAGACAAAATTTCATCCACTTGATTGGTATTCGATTTAATTCTTCAGATTCGTACCGGCTGATCCTCCTGAATATGCAGCTTCGGTGTCGATTTTTATAACACGCTGTCTCACATCTTTTACGCATTCAGGTGTTTTCTCGGCAATCCAACCTTCGAGGGTACGAAACTTCTGAACTTTAAAATCGTCATATACGTTTCCTGGCACCGCAAAATAGAGGAAAATGGTATCGTCACTTCCCTTCGACATTGATTGGTCTCCCTTCGACTTTGATCGGTGTCCCTTCAAGCAGGGTCCAGTAATACAATCAATTATCTCCTTGAATGGTGCTTGCTTGATTGAATGCTTCCCTGCTACTGTGACTTGAAATAGCTTGTTGGGTCCCAATGCAAAATCAATGCACGGAAATTTAGAATGTGCTGGTACAAACAACTTGTCAGCTGCTTGAGTGAGCCCTGATAATTCCTCTGGAGTCCGGAAAAACACCACTTCTGGATTTGCTGGAAAATCAAGAAATCCTGTTTCGCCTGACTGGAGATCCCTAAAGGGAAATCTAATATCACCACGTCGAAATAAGTGATGAGCATAGATTTCAAACACCGGGCCTTTAGCTATATCCTCTCCGCCTTTGACAAGTTTCGCCAATACATCGACCCAAGTGTTATCTTTTATTTTGTCCATAATCTGTGATTCGACCCAACGAGATGCCCACACCAGGTAGAAGTCGAGATGGTCAGAAGTGGGGACTCTATGGAGTAAACGACCACTAAATGCACTCGCATCTTTTCCTTGTGCAAAGAGGCTTACAAGATCTGCTGGCTTCTCGAGTGTGTCAATGGCCGCCTTGACGCGGGAAAACGCACTTTTTCTAGCTTCCTTAATATTTTCTTGATCCATGGATAGTGAAAAGGCTGGGGCCTGTAGGACCTGTCTTGGTACTCCCCCCAACTTGTAAAAAAGCTCCTCCAAAAATTCTTCATCCACTAGATGATAATACTCTACATTGGCTCTACATTCTTTAAGCTCGTCCAAACTCCAGAGTGACATGTGATAGTAGCTAAAGCGTGCAGTTTCCTTGGCGAATTCACCGTACTGCTCATTGAGAGTTTTTGGTGATGCCGCAAATATCGTCCTGGCTTGATCTGGTAGAGGGTTCTCACTACTATCAACTAAGTACCACGTTTCAGGTCGAGCAAGGAAATCTTCGAACATCGTTGTATTCCCTTTACGTTGGCAAGTTGTTCCTCCATAAACATAACATCTGTCATGCTGCTTATCTTGGAAAATAATAATCGGTGGATTTTCCTCATCGTGTTCGGCAAGGAGGCGGATGGCAAAATAGACCAAAAAGGCTGACTTCCCAATTCCAGGTGTTCCAGTGACAAAGAGTCGGTTCAAACCAGTTTCATGAGGGGTACTTAACCTGGATGTAATATGGTCATAAAGCTTTTCATATTCTTCTCTGATATAAAGATGCCTTGTTTTAGCAATAGGGAAGACACGACCCTCAGGGGCAGTCAATATTTTGGAACCCTTGATACCACCAGAATTTCGGAGCTCGCAAGCCACGCTAACAATGCTGTAGTAAATACTATCTCCTGATAACTCCTCCCCCATGTACGAAAGCACCTTGACCCTCTCTTTCGAGTTGAGAGGCGAGAGGACAGGGCTACCATTCACTATCCCTTTCGTTACAAGCCCCGCTTCTGTAATCGCATCCCTAAGAGCACCTCTGCTACTTATACTTGGACGAGCTTTTTTAGAGGGTGACTCTGATAAAGGAGATAGAGTGATCAAAGTCAATATTTTTGATTTATTGCACTGCACATCACTCTAAAATTGATCAATAACCAGCTTCTCGGCCAAAAGCACTCACCAGAATCTTCATCTTGTTTTCTTTTCTGAGCTAAGTATCAAAAGCGAATAATGAGAAAGAACGTTGAGTTATCAAGACACAAACCAAATGGTGATATCATGCACATGGCCGTTTAAGATATAAACCAAGCTTCATCAACTGGAAATATCAACAATCAGTCCATCAAGAGCCAAAGATATACCTCGCTGTGGTGGCTTGACAAAAACATGGATAGTTTCCTCTGGAAGTTCGGAAATAAATATGTCCCTAAGCTTCCTTGACGCGGGTACGAGAGCCTCTTTCGACACAATTTCTGACTCAACGACGGTCTTGTCTTCGTCAGGAATAGAGACCCTGTAGAGGGTGAGCTGGTCAGCGTCAATATCCTTAAATGCATTGGCTTTCTCTGCTTTGATGGCTTGCTTGAGTTCGCCGACTGAACGATCAGAAGGGATATTTACAGGAAAAGATGTTGCTTCTCCATCAACAATACAAAAAATCTTTAGCTCGGTTGGCTCGAGGATTTTAGGGTCATTGGTGCTTGAAGACTCTTCCTTCGCTTCCCCTTTTCTTTCTTTCTTTTCATACGGTTCAGTTCGAGGTGATGGGCATCGTGATGGTGTTCTGCTGCTTCCCATTGTGTTTTCAAACCTGTTTAAAAACAAGGGCGTAAATAGATGGAGGACAGAAAATAGGGAAAGGTTGATAAAAATGCTAAAGGATGATAATTCAGTAGCAGGATGGTTCAAAATTGTCTAGAGATGAAGTTGAGGGAGGAAAAGAAAAAAAGAAAAAAAGAAAAAAAAAAGGAAAGGAAAGGAAAGGAAAGGCAATGAATGAAGGCTTGGAATAAATAAAAGAGCAAAATTGATGGGAGCAAAACTGGGGGGAAATAAGAAAAAGGTGAAAAGAGGATAAAGGAAGAAAAGGAAGAGGAGAGTGCAAAAATGAAGTGAAGCAAGTTAAAGAAAGGAGCGACAATTGATAAATCTGTTCCTTTATTTCAAGGTTGGGCTATGCTGTGTGTGTGAGAAAAATTTTTTTCTTGTTGCACAAGACGCCATGCGATTAAAGATTGAATTGGCCCCCAAGTGTGACGTAACATGTATTATTTAAATACACAAACACTATTCGTCTCTTTAACTCTCTTGTTTTCACCACACAATCGAAAGTGTGCACATCCACTCTTCACCTTACATTCATCCCACTATGAACATGTCTAATACCTCATTCCAAGAACAAGAAGCTGTTACTGATGCTCCTATCAATGATGTTCTCGCCATCAATCAAATTGAAAAGATATTGATCGGTGGATTTGAAGATATTCTAAGTGTTCAAACACGAATAATATATATATAATAATAATTTTCTGTATCAATGCTTTCCTTGATGATATCAAAGCAATAATTATGCTTTAGAGAAAAGCCCTTGACGCGTCAAACTCTGGGAAGGATAGAGAGGATGACAGTGAAGAAAGAGAAGGATAATGATCAAGTAGATATCCTGGCTGGCCATGAATTTGAATTCGAGGTAAGTGTTGCATTTATATTATAAAGTCTAGTTCATTGCTTGAGAGCATATAATAAAGAAAAAGCTGGACATTTGTACGTTAACTCTAGTCTTTGAAGACGCGCGTATTGAGAATGGACTTAATAATATTGTTGTTGTTCAAGCCGCAAAGCACTATAAAGTTGATCCTGAATCCAGAGATCTGAGCCTGAAGAGAAAGGGCGTGATGTTTTGGTTTCCAGCACGTGCTGGAAGAAAACGAGCACAAACCTATTGCCCATACAGCACAAGCTGATTGCCCATACAGCACAAGCTGATTGCCCATACAGCACAAGCTGATTGCCCAAACAGCGCGAACCTGTTCTGAAACAGCATGAACCTGTTCTGAAACAGCACAAACCTTTTCTAAAACAGCGCGAACCTGTTCTGAAAACAGCACAAACCTATTGCACAAACAGCGCTAACCTGAAGAAAAAGCATACAGGCTTAAAAAAATCCACAATCATTTGCATGCATAACAGGCTTCTTCTCTTTTCGCACTACCATTACCATTGCCATTACCATTACCATTGCCATTACCATTACCATTGCCATTGTCATTCTCATTCTCATTCAATTCTCAGAGAACCTTCTGCATCATCCCTATAAACACGCTTAATACCACGAACAGTTGACAGATTAACTTTATTTGTCTGATCTTG